GGTGCGCGATTTTCAATATCGCAGCTTGTCCCTGCTGCAGAGCGATTATTTATTGTGCTTGATTGGTTTTCAAGTGATCATAAAGTAAGTGATCGTTGGCGCTGTCCGTTGGCATTGAGTGGCCCCTTCTCTGGCGTTAATATGTAGATTTGGAGGCGTAGATTTATGTCCCGCGGGGCGGAGTGGTAGTGGGAGAAGGTCTGGAATCGGAATTGGTATAGGGATTCACCCGAGTCGAGTGGGCGGGCGCGGTAATGAATTTGGGGCGGCGACGGCCTCATCGTGGTATTTTCCTGGGTCATCCGCATCCTGCTCGAACTCCCGGGAATGGCCTCCAACATTTTAACATTTAATTGACATTGATGATTGCCCCAGTGGACAACTCGACGAGAACACGTTTCCCAGGTAGCTAGTCCGTCTGGTCTCCAAACGTGTGCCCCGCATACGAAAACTACCAGGGAATTATTAATTTTCATATCGGAGCGGAGCTATTCGCATATGTCAGCTGTGCTCGCCATCAACTTGAACTGGACATGGACATGAAGAAGACGTACGAAATAAATTCTGTGGCACTTGCAGACAGCCAGCAGACAAGGCCATGGGTATGCACAGCAGCGGGAAAAATAATAGTAAATAGTAAAGCCAGGTTCTAAACTTTTTCTGCAAAAAAAGCCTTTAAAAGGAGTAGTTAAAATTAAGTAAAACAACACACAACCTTAAGTAATTAACTAAAAAATAACTAAATAAATCACATTACTTTTTTTAGGTCTGTTATAATGCATTACAAAATCTGTTATCATTTATTTAAAAAAAACAGTCTTTTGAAACCCAACAGAAATTGGTATAGTGTAAAATTATAGCACATATCATTTAAACAATTAATATTTTTAAACTTTATAAAAGTTTTATTTTTGAACATATTTTGCTAGATTTGTCTAGATAGAAATATTATGAAAATTTTTTTTGATAAATTGAAAATGGTTTAGATTTGGATTTTATGCAGCTTACTGACCCTAAGATTTATAAAGAAATTTGAATTGTTTTAAAGGAACCAGTTAAATAACCAGTGGGTACCGACTTAATATTTATTATTGAAAACTTCTTCCAAAATATTTTACATATTGCATTGTGTATTTATGAATTATTTTTTCACAGCTTTTACATTTCTCAATTAATAATAATAATTTAATCAAACTCTTGAAACATTGACAGGGGCATATTTTTGGCTGGGCCGATAGTTTGGCAATAAGTCATAGGTGTAGTTAAGGGGATCCTATTGCTGGCATTTCTCTTTCTTTGGGGGATAGATTGCGTTGCTAGGCGCAATCATTCAAAATTTCTCTATTGGGCTCAAAGAGTTAAATGTCTGAAATCAACGCCAACTCATTGGTGCTGGAACCTGGCCGGCTTTGTGTTTTGTTTTCCGCTCAGTTTGGCTTTCTTCGACGCGGCGTTGTCGGTTGTGTGTTTTGTTTTCGCTTCTTTAAATGAACGTTATTAAGCAGATGTTTATCGCTGAGTGATTTATTCATTAAAAAAACATTTATTAGCTAGAAACAAGCCGGTGTGTGTGCGTGTATCCACTCGGCTCACACCCCAATCCGCCGCATTCACAACTCACATTCACATTCACATTCACCATTATCCATATGGCCTGGTTCGCCTCGCCGCCTCATTTGTGCCGCATTAAAATGCAAAAGCGTGTTTGTTCCTGGAAAAACTGCAAAAGCCCCCCTGTTTTTATTTTTCTTCTTTATTTTTTTTATCAAATTGCGGGTGTGGACTGGAGAGCCAGCTGCTGAGGCGTGCGGCTTTGTTTTATGAACTTGCATATTTTCACAATTTTCCACAGTTGTGTTCCCTGGTGTTTGTGCGTGCGTTTTAATCACTTAATTAGAGAGCCACTTAATTGACTCGGACTCTTGGCGAATTACGTATGCAAACAATCGATGTGCGAGTGTTGCAGGAAATGGGCATCGGGTGGTCGAGTTCGTGTCTTAAGTCTTTTGTTCAGCGGTGCCTGGCAAGGCAGTTGAAAGGTGGAGTTTTCTCAATAAGAAAACCATGCTTGTATTATAAATATATACTTAATTACCCCGATAAATGGCTGTGAATATTGTATTTATAATATATTCATAAATTATTTCAAAATGAGATGTACTTGAGCCCTGGGAAAACAACAATTATATTATTCAATCATATTTAAAAAAAAAGTCATTAACTAAATATTTAAAATGTTATACTTTTTCCACAAACGCATACAAATTAAAAAAATGTAAGAAATATTTTTTAAAATGTTTTTAATGTTAATTATTTTAAAATTAATCTTCAAATCACGAGTGTCGATTATGAATCTTTATTCTCTCCACACTCATCAAATTAAATTTGTAATTTTAGGCCTTAAATCTTAAAAATTAAAAAAATTGTAGCAATATTTTGTGCAGTCCTAAAAATGTTTATTTATTTTATAATTCATAACACATGCGTTTTAAGAATATTGTCGCACTAATAAATTGGAGGTAAAATTGATCTTCAAATCATTTAAATAAAAATTAAATGCTTTCCTACCAATGTCGATTATGAATTTTCCTTCTCTCCACACTCATCAAAATAAAGGTGTGATTTTATTTCCTAGTTAGGTTTCATCTGGTTATCGCTTAACTGATTTTGATTGCCTCCCATGTTCCCGTTTAACTCGTTCTTGGGGAGCACAATTAGCCATCGGAGCCATTCATTAGCCCCATTGCCTTTCCTCCACGAAACCTGTTGATGAGCCGAACCTGATGGCATTGCCCGATTTCCCCAGTTTTGATTGCATGTCCCCAGTTGCCATTTAGAGAGGGACACACCCATCGAATCGCTCGAGTGCAGTGGGAAATTGCTGCCACAATGCAGACATTTCAATTAGCATTTGGCTAAACATAAGGTAAACAATCTGGCCAATTCGCCGATGCTAACCGATTCAAGTCAATGAAGCCAATAAAGTGGTACAAACTGAGTCGCAGATGGTAGCATAAATACTTGTTAGTCGCCATAGTCGTCGTGGGTTAATCACTCGGTACTCGGCACTCCTCATAGAAAAAAGCTGCCACTCTTTCCAACTGATGGTGGCTTCTTCTGGCTTTTGGTGTCATAAGGAAGCGTCCAAATGATTCATAATTTATGCCTGCCTGTCGTTGCCATGGCCATTGCCATTCCCTATCCCATTCTCGTGCCCATTCCTATTCCCAATCCTATTCACTGCTTTCGTTACTTAATTTTTCCAACTTAACGCTCTGGCTTGTGCCCGTTGGCCTGGCTTCCTCCTCCCTGAGTAAACGTAAGCGTAATGCATTTCGGGATTGCACAGGGAAAATTATTTTAGTTAAAACAAATTTTACAATAAGTTCTCAAGCCCTTAGCTATTAAAAATCGCTTTAATCTTAAATTAAATAAATCTTAAATAAATAATCTTAAAATCGAGATGAAGTTATCCCGTTTTGCGGGACTACTTTCGACTTGGAAAACAAAATCAAGAGCATTTTCGTCTTGATTTCAAGAACAACTTTTCTCGAATAGTGGTTTTATGGACTTTTTCCGTCAATTAGTGAAAAATTTTAATTTAAGTTATGGTTTTTAATTTTTGTTTGATTCAGTATATTTTACATAAATATTTTTCTTTGAGGTTTTCATTGATATTGTACTCATGCATACATACCAGTTTTTGGGGCCACTTTTCTGAGTGTAAAAAATGCGTGGACGTCGACGTTGTGGCTGTCGTTTGTCTGGTCCGATGATAGTTGAAAAAATTACTTACAAATTACATGCGTAGCTTATGCCCCCGTGCCGCCTTCAGCCTTCGGTTGTCTTAATGTGCAGGAAAATGCAGGAAAATTCGGGGTGGGGAAAAGGAACGGGCTGCCGGGTATTAGTGTTGTGGGTCTCGTGGCCGGATCGTAAATTGCATTTTTCAATTGAATTCTGAGCACTGACAGTCGGCAGAGGTCGACGAAATACCCTCAAAATAAAAATGGTTGACCAAAGAAAACTTCAATTTTTCCTTAACTTGGATCTATTTTATTTCCCATCGTTAACGCCATATTGCCGCCAAGTGACGAGCTCATTAGCATATAAATATTGTTGTAATTACACCTGGTAAATAATGCAATTTTGCCATTTTTATAGACCATGCTTGTGCTTAATTAAAATTATTATAATTGAGTTAAGCGAATGGAGGGCGGAGGGCTTAGTGGAATTTCGCATGGCTTTAAATGCAGCACGGAACATGGCCATAAAGTGTAGCTGCGTTTAGCTTAAACAAGTCGACAATTTAAAAAGCCAATTTGCGCATAATACGACGAACGTGAGCGAAAATTTAAAACAGAACTACACACGCACAGAGGCGGGGAATAAAATGAAAATAAAAGAAGCCCATTGCAGGTAGCGTGTTGTGCAAATTTCTACGCAAATGACCATTAATGCAAATGCTGTTTGCTCATTAAAGAAACATTGCCCGCCCACCCAAATGACCTAAATTCGTTTGCCATTCGAACTGGTAGTTTGCCTGAATGTATTCGAACATTGATCATAGCTTGAGTTTTTTGAGGAGTTTGGAATATAAAAATTAAAGCTGGCTTTTATGAAATAGAATAACAAATTGTTTTAGAATTGTTTTTTATTAAATGTAAAATATTTTGCATGGAATTTTCAAAAATAATATTTTGTTGTTGATTTACTTAAGATGTTCTGTCAGCCTTTAAAAAATACTTTAATTTTCTTGTTTCTAATTTAATATATGTTTTTTTACTTAAATTAAATAAAATTCTGCCACATGTATTATTAAAGTAGTTTAAGTTTAAGCAACTAAGAATGTTTTAAAATGTGTTTTTTTTTTAAATTCAAACCAATCTATCAACCGTTTATCGATAAAGTGTAGCGGCTTAGAACCGTAAAAATACTATCACCCGTAGAAATTCGGCGTTATTCAACACTAGCAAAACTTTTAGCGCACAACCATCTCACGATCTGGCAACGCCATCCAGATTCCAGGAAAACGATCTTGTCTCTCTTCTTCTTGCTGCCACCAAACTTTGAAAAACAACGCTCATAAAATTGGATTTTTCCTCGAAAATAAGACAAATAGAGAGCGAAAGATGGGACGTCATCGTGCAAGGAAGCCGCTTTTCACGATCGGCGACTTTGTGTTCGCCAAGGTGCGTGGCTATCGGGCCTGGCCAGCCCGCATCCTGGGCCGCGTCGGTTCCACGGCGTACAACGTGTACTTCTATGGCACCTGCAACCATGCCAAGGTGCCGCGCAACCAGATCTTCGACTTCGAGAGAAACCAGCGTCGCCTGGGCGTGTTCCGATCCAAGGGTTACGCCTGCAATCCCAACTTTCGGGGCGCCATGATCCACGCCCGCCAGGCATTCGCCAATCCGGAGATGGATTACGGCTACTACCAGCAGATGGCTGTAAACGAGGGCCATTGTGTCAATGCAGAGGATCTGAAAATGGACTACACGGTGGTCGATGTTTCCGCCAACCAGCAGAAGCAGAAAGAACAGGATGCCAAAGAGGAGGAGTGGATGAACCTGTTGATGGAGGAGGACTCATCTAAGGAAATCTCTACAGATCCGCTGGAAGGATGTGGTTCACACGAGCTGGACTCAAAGAACCAACCTGAGAAGCAAAACTCCGTGGAGCTGAACTCAAAGGATCCACTGGAGGTGGACAACGTCGAAGAGTATTACTTAATGGCTCAGATTACTCCTTTAAAATCAGATAAGATTAAAGATCGTGATGCGAAGGTCACAACTCCAAAGGATCTTAAATTTATTTTGGAAGGGTTGGACCCGAAGGACTGGTCGGGGACCCACAATGAAGAGGGAGACACCTCCAAAGATCAGTTGGTAGAACCGGCGTCTTTAAAACAGAACCTAATGCCTCAGCTGGATGGTTTGGCTTCTGACGAAATGGACTTAAAGGCACAGGAGAAGGCTTCAAAAGAGTTAGTAGACAAGGACGTGCAGGAACTAATGGAAATGTTGGAGGATTACGAGGAGCAGGCTCGTAAAGAAGAGGATCAGGACTCAGAGAAGCAGAAACTGGAGGGGATGTATTTCATGGATCAGCCATTAAACTTAACCTGCCGTCGCCGATGCTAAATAATTCATGGAACAGCTTCCGCCAAACTATGAAAAGGTGATTTTTGTTTAGAATATGAAATGTTATAAACGCAGCTCTATTATGTTTCTCTTTTTCGTCATTGCTTAGACTAGATAACTATTCAAATGTTCTTAGAATTTATACATATTCATATTATGTCGAACTTTCTTGTATTAGTTACTCAACATATAGATTAGGACCAACAAAATCGTAATACCTTGTTACGGAAAATTTTCTTTTGAAGTGTACTGAAACTTAAATCCATAAAATAGGAGACCAAATATTACGTAAAATCTACAAACAAAACTTAACAATGATTAACAAATTTAAGACCTTTAGATTTCATAAGCGTTGAGAAACTTAACAAGCTCATGAAAAATTTACCTAAATTATTGGTATTTAATATACATGGCTTACTTCTTCTCAATTAAATTTTCGTTTTATGTTAGTTATAGCTTCATCTTAGAATATTATCAAAAAAACGAAAATATCTCAAATTAAAAAAAAATCTATAATTAAAAATGTTTTTGAATACTACATTTTGGTTTTTCAAAATTAAACTTCTTCATAAACATAAACCTGAGTTATGAGTTAAAGTCGTTGCAATTGAAGGAGTAGAAACGATGCAATGGAAATTTAAGCACTCGCTTTTTAGGACACAGCAAGATTTGACTTAACCAAAATGGATTTCTGGAATCAGCGGGCCATTAAGGAGGCGTGGGCGTGCCTTTGGCCATAATGGCTGCTGCGTGATCCTCCACTGCTGACCTCCACACATCATCCAGGCCGGTCGCTAATCGAAGCTCGACTTGGGGCACGTTTCCGCATTAAATGCTGCACCATCAGCATGGGGAAATCAGCCATCGACCCAGCCACCCCCGGGATAAGTTTCCCCAGGGGCGTTCGCTGGATAGTTTAGCTAAATGCCGTCGTAAAAGAACGCCGGCCGTTAAACCAACAAGCCGGGCTGCAGAGTCAACAACCAAGATTCCCACCCTACTTTCGGCAGATTTAATTGGACAATGCGGCAACTGGAGGAGGAGGTCGGGAATACAAGTTGAGATGAGGATGCTTCGATTAACAAATTATCGCCACCGCAGCAAATTAATCACAGCCGCCTGGCATCTGTAAAACCAAGTACGGGAATCTGTATCTGGGTTAACGAGAGGACGACCGATGACCGCAAATCAGATTCACTAAGCCGGCAATAAGATTTCCCGACCGCATCAATTTGTTTTAATGCCAGAAATGCTGTTGCACTGCTCCAACAGATTGCAGCAGCTGGCAGAGCTAAACGCCAGGAGCTGCATCCGAAGCTGGAGATGCACTGAGAAAATAATGGAAGTAGTAAGGATCTTCTTTATAAGAGGTACATTATCATATTTATCTCTAGAGCATTATATTTAAATACATAGGCAGCACAGTTAGCTATACGTTTTGAACAAACCTAAGCCGCGAATTCTTTAGAACCTTATGTATTTTTCATTATTGATAATTGTAGTAGTGAATATTAATCGGGACTTTGTTCTACTGTTGTTTAACTTTAAAGAATTTAATATTTTTCCGAGTGTTCTGGAGATGCTGCTGCAAGATCCCTTGGTGGCTCCAGCATCCTTGGCCCGCCCGACAGCTGTCTACCAAGGGTTAATTCTTGTCCTGTGTTGTTCTGCGGTCTGGGGCCAGATTGTTAAGGAGTCCTCCGACCGATATGCATATGGATAAGTACTCCTCGGCCCGCCCATACCTCATACCCGACGAACCCAGTCCTGGGCCGTAAAATGTCAAATTAATGTTACAACATGTCCAACGATTTCTGATGGCATTTGACAATGCTGAGTGGAAATTCCTGCAGGTGACGCAATTTCCCTGTAATTTGTTTGGCCGCACGTACCGTCGCCCTGACATGGGGCATTGTCAGCTCGTTTGTGCCTGCCCAGCATAAACAAAAAACTCAACCAAACCGAGTCGAGTCAAGTCGATCTGATCCAAAACGCGCCAAGGGACCTGCAGCCCTATTGGAGTGTGGTTTAGTCGGTTATTGGATGGTCGATGGCTGGTAGTTGATAGTTGGTTATTGGTAGGTGTCAATGTGTGGGCATGTCGCACACGTGTGCTCGCTCCTGCCCTGGGGCCATAAATTCACTTAGTTTATTTGCAGCCGCTGCTTCTGTGTCCACTTGGCCAGACACTCCGACACCCAGTCATGTAGCCATATAGCCATCCAGCTACCCAGTCCGTTCCCAGTTCGGCGGAAATTTGCGAAGGAAATCAAATTAAAATTTCGCTAATTTATCAGCCGTTCAGAAATCGTGAGTCCACGGGCTGCCAGGGGGCGCTAATTGGCAAACAATTCGCATATCGGTGTTGGCGGCTTAGCTTTTGGCTTAAATCTAGCTTTATTCAAAGAGGTAAAATATTTTAAAAATGGAAAAATGAGTAACAACATTTTTTAAAAGCTTTATTTGTGTGTGTTTTGTGAAACTCAATTCATTTTTTCCCAAGGTAAAATATTAAAAAACATAGCTCAACGTTTTTTTTTATTAATAAGGATACTATACTCTCAAAGAAAAATTTTCGTTAACTAGGACAACATAAAACCGTATAAAATGTAAGGGTTTCAGTTATATGAAATATTTATAAAAAATTTGAAAATAAACTTTTTTTAAGTTCTAGAGATGTTTTTCTAAATTCTCTTCCTAAGTATTAAGACCTCTTAGACGTAGTTTGAGGAGAATTTTTTTTAAGTGATATTACTAAAGTCTAATAAATAGATTTGTACCTTTAGAAAACCCGTCAGCACTATCGTTTTCTGAAATAAATAAAGGAAAGGCAATACACATAAGGGAAATGTAATGGTGGAGAGCCGAAGGAAATGGCGCGGGGTGGTGCAAAATTTTTGCATTTTATCGAAACGACTTCATCAGCCAGCCTGTTTGGCGTGGTCCGCAGTTCGAGGTCCGAAACAAAGGCATTCTAATTAAAATTCCCAAGTGTCAGAATTTTATTTATTCCTTTGCCAAACCAAGTGCATCAATCAAACTTTTGCACAACCAGCAATTAATTTTTTTCGGCAGAGTTATATGAAAGAGAAGGGTGTGAAGAGGGGAGGGGATTTTGATACTGGCAGCTCCGTTAAAATCAAATTGCCTCATCGTTAACACCCGAAAGTCGATGGGATTCTGGAATGAAATTGGGATGAGTTGGGGGATTGGTTTCGTTGGTTAATCGATGACTGATTGATCCAATGAGAGTTACACTGGGCAACAAAACAGGGGTTCAGGGTTTCAGTTCTATGAAGTTCTTCCATCCATTTCAATGAATACCATCATTGAAACCATAGCCTTTTGTTTGACTAGTGTTCACTCTCTATTAAAACGATTATGATAGGCCAATCAACCCCTGTCTTCAGATCTTTTTAAGGACCCTTGTCGGGCATTCAGTGAGCACATGTTATTATTTGTTTTTGATGAAGTGGTTGATTACAATCGACCCTCCCCAGTCATTTTCAGCCACCCCAATGAGTGGCCTAAAACTGTGGTTACAATTTGACTTGCTGTCAGTTAGAAAATTATGCTCAGATTTGATTCAATTCATTTTTGGGCTATGAAAAAATAAAATATAAGTAATATACAAATAAAAAAATATTTCTCTACGAATTTTTGGTTACATATTAAAAATATGTTATCAAAGATAGCCATATATTTACCAATATCGAATCGTACTGCTTATAGGGTAACATTTAAGGATCATTAAAAAAATAATTAAGTTATTATCTTTAAAATAAATAAATCAGATTTCTTAAATACCTCTTAAATACCCGAAAATAACCTAATATATGCATGTAAAAATCCCCTGTGGATCAAAAAATTCAGATTGTGGTAATGTCATAAAATTCAGATTTTTATAGCTTTTTGCTTGTGGGTCAGCAGGTGAAAATCGAAAATAGTGGAGGGCTTTCTGCCTCCCACACCGCGCATAATTTGGCCATGTCGAACATTTGGTAATACGCGACAAATGGGCTCCAAGTTGGAATGTTAGAAGACATCATCATCATCGCCGCATTCAGTATGCAAAGCATCGTCGCATTTTAATCGCCTCAGTGGGTGGCATTCTCGTTGGGGAGACATCGAACCAGCGCACTAATCGAGACTTACGTCGCTTTTTAATTGATTTGTGCCAAAAGTTTTATAGGTTTTTAAAGCTGTCCCAAACAAATGGCAGCGATTGTTGGCCGGGACCAAACGCAATCGGAGATCGAAAACGACCCCCCGCCTGGGGTGTGGGCCTAATTATGGAACGCCAGAAATGGCAAATTAGCATAAAATTTAGCAACATTAAAAATTATAGTTTATTATGCTCGAATGTGTGTGCTCCTTTTTATTGTTGCTCTGTGACTAAATTGATTAATGAGCCAATTTAATAGTTGTGTCTGCCTATGGACATATTTTTATGACACTTGAAAAATTATGACGAACATTTCATCCGTCTCTTAATTTAAGCAATTTGCTTTTACCGTTGGGCACAATTTGCTTGAATTTTATTTTTATTTTTTGGCTGGCAGTGAAAGTGCTTGATGGTGGAGCAATGAATTGGGGGAAATCATTAAATTTGGCCATAAAAATAAATTCGGGGCTGGGCGGATTAAGCGAGTTATGGCCTGGTGTTAAGGTGTTGGCGGCACATTTCTTTCACGGACTTTTGAGTGGGGCGATTTTTTGGCGTTTTTAATGGGTCCATTAAATGCGAAATTTGATTTATCTGGCTTGGGCCATTCAGATGCTAATGATGGCGATAGAATGACGTAGTATTGTTCGCGAAGTTAAGGTGGTTATTCCCCAGTTTTATAGATTTATTTTGGAATTTCAGATCGTTAAGATATTTCCGCATTTTTAATTTGCCTTAAAACTGTTCAATAAACTAATTTTTATAGACCATAACATTGTTGGCATAGTTATTTTGTAGTTCAAATCACATGATAGCCATGTATTTTCGATCGCCTTTTGTTTCCTTTGCTCTCCGTCACTTTTCAGTTGGCTCACAACAGCTAGTCCTATAACATTCACATTCTGAATTTCACAACGAGAAACATTGAAATTTTGTTTTTGAAATTTGTAAATTTTTATCATGTCTTTTTATGATTTTGTTCCGTCGAATCAAATGATGCAGAGTCAGGAAGACCTGGAAACCGAATATTTTCAGTCCTACTCTCGACTGGAGATCCATATGGAAATGTTGAGGGACTCGGTACGCACCCAGGCCTATCACGATGCTATCCTCCAGAATCGTGACCTCTTCCAGGGCAAGACCGTCCTGGATGTGGGCTGTGGCACGGGAATACTCTCCCTCTTCGCTGCCGAAGCAGGAGCCAAAAAGGTTATAGCCATCGAATGTACGGATATAGCGGATGTAGCCAAGGAGATTATGAGGGATAACCAGAAGGAAGACGTGGTGAGGGTGGTCAAAGGAAAGGTGGAGCAGGTGGAACTGCCCGAGGGCATTCAGCAGGTGGATGTCATAGTCTCCGAGTGGATGGGGTGAGATCTATATAACTCTTAGCGCCGTTTTCTCGAGTGACCGTTAAAGGTAGGGTTTCCCATCTGTCCGAAAAACTAACCACCAGATAAATCGGTCGACGTATGTCACTTTATCGATTTGACAAATACTTGACAGTGATTTTGAGTTCCTAAGCCATTGACGCTTCCGAAAACCGAATTCCCTTAACAGAGACTTTATCTGACCGAGAACTATTAACCGGCACTCGAGAAACATGACTGTTTCTTAAATTTATCTTATTGTTTTAAAATATTCTTAGGAACTCTCTCTATATGGAGGCCATGCTGAACTCCGTGCTGTTTGCCCGGGACAAATGGCTTTCCCGTGGCGGCCTAATCCTGCCCAACGTGGGAAACCTCTGGATAACCGGAGCCCAAGATCCGCATAGATTGGCCACTCTCAACTTTTGGCAAAATGTCGAGGGCATCGATATGAGCTGCGTGAAGAAGCAGTTCTCCCGAGAGCCCCTGGTGGATTGTGTGGCCATTCAGCAGTTGCTCACCGATGAGTGTTTTATACACTCCACCAATCTGGGTTATGATCGTAATCAACCCGTGGTCTTTCGCTCGAATTTCATGCTAAATGTGCAGCGTGCTGGAGTTATCAATATGTTGGTTCTGTACTTCAATGTGGGCTTTCCGGTGGGAAAAGCGGGCAACTCGGTGATCCTGTCCACCTCGCCGCGTGCTCCGTGGACCCACTGGGAGCAGACCCTCTTCCATCTGGACGAACCACTCTTTGTGAAGCCCAACGATCGTGTGCGCGGCGTTCTGGCCATGATGCCCAGCAGCCTGGACGGGCGCTCCATGAACTTTGACCTCAACATTAGCTTCCGTGGCGATAGGACGCGGGTGGAGAGCTTCAAGAGCTTCAGCTCGACGGGAATCGCGGGCGATAGACTTGGATTATAAAAAGTAACTCTAGACCGTATTGATAACTGTCATAAAATGGGTTGTTAATCGAGGGCCTTAAAGTGCCAGTTTTTTTTTTTGGTTTTTCGTGGGCTATCAATCCGCGGCTGGACTTAGAAAGTGGACAGCCGAAATGTTAACGACTTTCCTAACAAATTAATTTCAAAGCCAGAGGGAATGTGAAAATGTGTCTCTCCGCCTCTAATTAATTGATGACCCGTCGTATAAATTTGTGAAAGCCAACGCCGTGAGCCCACAATGAACGCCTTTTATGCGTTTATAACTCTATTTACTATTTTAGCCATTTGCATTGTCTCGTTTTCGAGGTCTCCGTTCTACGATCTCCCATCTCCCATCTCACGAGAGGTTGCCCAAAATCTCTTGTCAGCTCGTTTTGTGTTTGTTCATAGAGTGGCATTGTTAATGGCAGTTCTTAAAAGG